TGAGGAAAAAAAGCAGCAACAAACTATGGAGAATGAACAACGTCAAAATGTTGCAACTCAATCACCAATATCAGTCCTACGCATGAAGAAGAGAGACCTCAACGTGTTAGAAGACGACCTGCATGGATGGCAGATTATGAGGTAACTGGAATTGATCAATTTGAAGATCCGTTTATACATTTTGCTTTGTTCTCAGACTATGATCCTACAACTTTTGATGAGGCTGTGAAAGACTCGAAGCGGCAAAAAGTAATGGATGAAAAAATTGCAGCAGTTATAAGAAACAACACATGGGAATTAACTGAGCTGCCAAAGGGAGAAAAGACAATTGGTGTAAAGTGGTTATACAAGACAAATTTTGAAGCTTATCAAAGAACCTGATGAAAGAAGAGTTAATAACACTCTCTACAAACAAATAGTGGGAAGTTTGATGTATTTAACGGCTACAAGGCCTGATATTATGCATGCTGTCAACCTTATTAGTAGATACATGGAGAGTCCAAGGGAGATGCATCTTCTAGTTGTAAAAAGGATTCTTCGCTATTTGCAAGAAACTATCAATTTTGGTTTGTTATCCAAGAAAAGTGAACAATCAGTCTTGACTGGATTCGCTGATAGTGATTATGCTGGAGATTTGGATGATAGGAAGAGCACTTCTGGTTGTGTTTTTATGATGGGCTCAGGAGCAATTTCATGGTCATCAAGGAAGCAATCAATTGTAACATTATCAACTAATGAAGCTGAATTTGTTGCAGCAACATCATGTACTTGTCAAGTAGTGTGGTTGTGCAAGTTACTTGAAGAACTTCATTTCCAACAGAAAAGATTGACTCCTATTTATTGTGACAACAGTTCAGCAATAAATCTCTTCAAAAATCCTGTTCTTCATGGAAGAAGCAAACATATTGACGTGAAGTATCACTTTCTAAGAAACCTCACAAAAGATGGGAGTGATTAATCTCACTTATTGCAGAAGTGAAAATCAAATTGCTGATGTTTTCACCAAACCCCTTAAGTTGACATCTTTTGTGAAGTTCAGAGAATTGCTTGGTGTTTGTTCATTTGAAAGCATTTTGTTGCTAGAATAATTAAACTGAACAGGTAAGTTTCAGTTTAAGGGAGGGTTTATTGAATATCTGCAATCACTTTCACATGTTCAATTTGAGTTATCCTAGTCTTCAGCATAGTTAGTAGCTGATTTGTTGTAGAAAATATCGGTTTGTTATTTAGTTTAGATACAATAGGACTTAGTGGAGCACTATCCTATTTTCATGCTTTCACAGGTAAGAAAAGCTCTATTTAAAGAGCCTAATTGCTGTAATTCAGGGTGAGGGCGGTAGCCAATTGAATAAAGTCTCTTCTCTGAACTTCACTTGCTGGTATTGCTTTAGTTTTTCAACAATTTTCCCATCCGATTTTCATTCAGCAATGCCTGTTGGACGATGCTTAATTTTTTCATAAAGAACAATATGATGATTGTGATTAGCATCTCTGGTTTATCCATCTGCAAAATTGTTAGGTCAATGTTTCAGTTTATATTACTGTAGAATACCAATTATTATCTGGTGAATTTTTCGGTTCTTTGCATCAACTTTTTGCAATATTATCTTTTGTATTACAGGAACGCTTATCAAGAATTGAAGCTGCTATTGCAAGTAAGAAAGGTAGGTGCCCAATCTAGATTTTTTTTTAGTAACTTATATGGTTGCTTTTTGATAAAATTGATCTTGCTAATTCTCAGATGCTGGAGATGAGGATCTTTGGAAGACAATTAGTGAACTCCAGTCTAAGCTAGAAGATGCAAATGCAAAGCTGGTAGTAGAACAAGTAAAGGTAAAGCATGTTTCTCTGTATTATAGTAATATATATTGAAATCTATATATAGCATAATAGTAACTTCATATGTGACTTCCAGGTCAATGACCTCACAGCAGAAAATGAGAAAAAACAGTACCGAATAAAACATCTAGTCCGGGCATTGAAGCAGGCTGATCAAAGGTCGGAAGAATGGAAAGGTACACATCTTAATAGCTCTTGTGACAAAGTCAGTGTTTTACTTGCTGAACTTCTATATTGTGAAACTAGCACGTAAAATCTGTACACCTGAGCAGTAATTTTGGATTCCTTGAAAAGGAAAAGAAACACTGGCCTGCTTGGAACCAGCATGACCTGAGATACAATTCAAGTATTTTGATATTTAGGGTCTAATTCCAACCATTTTGCTGTTCTCTTCCTGTTGTCTTCTGGAGTAATTGTTTGGACTAGCTTAACTCAAAGAAATAGACTAAACTGCATATAGAATCGAATCTAATGACTAAAAGGTTGGGTTCAAATTATTATTATGAGCTGGAGTTTACTATAATATTCTATTTAGTAAATTCTTTTCACTGCATCTTCTTCGTAAGACTTAATTCGATCTCATCTTTGTATGACATGGATGCATTTCTTGTGCAGCTCCCAATTTGGAAAAAGATACTATCTCGAGTTTGAAGGACATGAAATTGTGAACTGACGAGACATCTCTAGAGAACCTGATTACTGGTCCACACTCTTATCATATGTGTATACTTGTTAGATCTTCTTTCTTTCATTTTGCTTTCAGACTAGTCTTTAATGAGAAATAATGGAGAAACCAACCATGGAAAAGGTTTTTGATTGTGATTTAACATGACTTTCTAATTTGATCATCTGGAACAGTATTTTTCTTGTAGGTTAAAGTTGCGAAACAATCAATACTACAAGATTGATTTCATTGATTTTTGATCAATTTCAAAGTGGAGACAGTTAGTCTTTACGAGAATTGCAATGTACCTATTGTCTTAGAGTAAAATAATAATAATAATAACTAGGAGGCCTTAAAATTCATTTCTTGATGAAATAATGATTCCGACTTCAACCTAATAGAATTCATTTTATATAGGACGAAATAAGACTAAGAATTATGGTAGTTGAACCGTGCATGGTTCACAGGATATGGTTATGGCACATCAGTAAATAATTGATGTATATTGTGAATTGACATTTATATGATACAACCAAGATTAATGAAATTTTATTTATTATTACTCTTATCAATATAAAATCTATTTTTATACTTCAAAAAATTAAGTTTTATACTTAATTTTCATATCAGTCTTAATGAATAAAAATTTAGCATATAATTTGTATGTTTGATGGTGACCTTCACTCGGGAATTCAATTTGTTCTTCAACTTATAGTAACTAAATTCATATCTTTCCCAAAGAATTTAAGGTAGAAATGATTAAGTATACCATTTAAAATAAGGTGAAAAAGAAATGAAAATTAAACTAAATGCTGCGTAAATGAATTTTCAATATAATTAGAGAAATTTAATTTTCATTTCATTAACTCTAATGGAATTGAAGAACTCATAACTTTTTTCCACCATAACTGAGCCAAGCATACATTCTGAAATGAGTTGCTCAAAAACTAATTCTAGAGGTATGCCAACCCCCATTCTCAGATATACCCCCCCTTGTGAAGCACTAGATTTTTTTCATGTAAACTTGATGTCTTATCAAATTTAGCGGTATCCACTACAAATATCTCCCTGTAAACACTTTCCTGTTTCCTCCTGTAAATAAAGATGCAGCTACCCGTATCTCGCCAGTTATCCAAGATACTCCCTGAAAACATATGTATACAAACTGTGTTCGAGGCACATCCAAAAACATTCTAAGTAAACAATATGAGAAAATGTTTCCTATCTGTACACCCACCTGTGGATTTAGCAACAGCTCAGGCGATTAATTAGTTGTTGGATCAGGTCAGTTTTCTTGAGCTTATAGTAATTTGTTAGTTTATGTTCCTTAGCAATGGCTCTTAAGTCGGATATTTTCAGACTGTTTAGGTTAGTTGTTGCAGAATGTTTTAGTGCCACGACCTCTCTGCCAGGATCAGTATGGGAGCAGGATTCTTTGATTAGGTAATTCTTACTTTCACTAATCACTGGATTACCATGCCCTTCTGAAAATTCAATTTGACCAGATGAGCCTGTCATCTGCAGGAGAATTGGAACACTTGTACTTGTCTTTCTTTTCTTTGAGGAATTTCGGCTGTCGTCCAAACCAGCACTTTGCTCTTCAGCATTCTGCAGCCTGTGCTGCAGAACTCTCTTTGTGATCTTCGTCCTTGAAGAATTCTTCAAATTGGCATTGCTGCAGTTTTTTGTTTGTTTCTTGGTTTTGAAATCAGAAGAGGAACGTGAAACATTTCCTGTAGAAAGAAAACTTGGGCTTTGGGCACTTGCTGAGTTTGATTGCACAATCCTCTTAGCCTTTTTCCTTGATTGATTCAGGGACAAGTTCAAAATCGACTCATCATCATTCACGGCAATTTCAACCATCTGCACTTCTTTGTTTGGTAATTTTTTGTTCTCTTTGAGGTGTACCATGCTTGCAAGTTTCTCTGTCTTGTCCTGCAGAGCTGAAAGTGAGCTTAATGCAGTATGTTCAGTAAGTGTTAGACCAGCTTGTCCAACCTTAGAAACGTGACTAGTGTGACAATTAGTATTTTTCTTCATCCCTTCCACCTTCAAAATTGAATTTGAAGAATTCATCTTGTCAACTGAAGCAACCTTTGATTCTTTCAGCCTTTTTTTACGTGCTGCATTTGCTGCAAAATCACATAGCTTTTGCTCTATACCAGAATTTCCACTTGTTGCCTGTATGAATAAAGCTTCCCTTTTTTCTGCGGCAGTAGTGTTGCATCCTCCCATTTTGCCATGGTTGTTAGGTCTCAAATCAGTCTTGCATAATTTTTTTATCTCATTCAGATTGCCGATTATGCATGCATGAGAATCTTTGACGATAGCATTTGTAGGCTGTTCATTTTAGGAGGAAAAGAACCAATAGCAAAAGGTTAGACTACTGATTAATCATCTTTGATCAGAATATATCAGAATAGGATCATGCAAATGTCCAATTTGTTGGGGTTGTGAAGTCTTCAGATACATGATCGTCAAGATTTTTAAATACTAAGAGAAAGGGGATAGACTAACCTTTGGATTTATATCATGAGCTGTAGTTGGATAATTTGAGATTGCATTATCTATCATAGACAAAGAACTGATGTCTTCCGCTTCCTCCTTTATGATTATTGATTCAGAAGCAGAAATATTATGGTTGTGGCAGAAGCCAACGGAATATTTCAAAGCATCTGTACTGGAGAATTTTGCAGTCTCTGAAAGCTGGGCATTGTCAAAGAAATAGCTTATAAAGGAGGAAGAATGAGTAGCGAAAGAATGTGTTGAAGAAATAACAAAGGATTAAAGCAAGAAAAACAGATCTTAGTAAGAAACTAGGAAAAAATAGATAAATTTCTTGAAGCCAAAATTTTTTCCAAAAATGTATCTTTTTGGTCTACTGTTTTTGTTCTTTCCACTTTTCTTCCCTCTATCAAATTTTATTTTCTAATGCTATGGTTTACAAGACTAGCATATAGAAATGACCATCCACAAAGATGAAATTATACAAAGAGAAATACCAACTTTTGCTCTATTTTTTAATGAATCAAATTGTACACAGAAAAATTACGTATATTCTTTAACATTAGCACTACAATTATATGGCTGTGTTCAGCAGCCAAACTTTCTTTCCTTATTTTATCTATGGATTATTAGGTATCTCCCCTTATTTGCAGCTCGTATACAAATGCGTGGGAGTTGAATGGCACCTGAAGTCTTATGAAACGCTACTTAACTTTTCCTGCAACCATGATTCATATTGTTATTCCTTGGAAAAAATGATATAGTAGAGCAAATGAAAGAAAATAAAAGTCGTGTCACAAGAGTTTAATTTGCATTGCCATAAAGCTACTTTTTCTCTTTGAGGATCACATCAACAAGAAAAAGCAGGGAAGAAAATGATTTCATTATAACAGCGCCACATGGTTATAACTGAATTTTAAACTATTAAACTCGAAAGCATTTTTTTCTCAAGAGGTTATAAACTTAAAATACAAAAAATGAAAATTTTTGCAGCGGGATGGATCGTGGCAGGAAAGAACTACCTGAGTATTTGCCGTTTCCAGGTCATGTTTTCCTTCTGTGGACTTCAAAGGTGAACCTTCAAACATTTGTTCATGATTGGCAGTAGAATCATCTTCTTTGACTTCCCCATTTCCAGTACTTTTGAAATCAATATTCTCCAATGCTGTCTTCTTAACAGAGTGGCCAGCCGCAGACTCCAGAGAATTCAGACAAGGGTCCTTTCCATTAACATCTGCAAGCTGTGGAAAACCAAAATAAGGTGTGAAGGTCTCCGTCAAGGCACAACTGACAGTCATAAACTGGAACAAACTGCACATTAATATAAAACAAACACTTAAATCTGTTCTCTTTCTATTCCAATAATCTCCTCCTTAAATTAAATGCAGCAAGCAAATAAGCTATTGGAAGCAATAGTAAAGTAAAAATTGAAAGAATACGGAACCAGCTGCCAATACTATCTTGAACTTGAAGGACATGAAATTGTGAACAGTTGGAACATCTCTCATATAATCTCAGTACTTGTCCAAACTCCCACATTTATGCCCATTTACTTGTCTCATTTTTTTCCCTTTTGCCCCTCCTTTTAAAAGTGGTTTAATCACAAATGACTTCGTGAAATCACCCACGAAAAGGTTTTTAATTATGAGAATATGATTTCATTTTCAAACAAAATAAGTCACAGAGCTAGGAATTCAAACACACTTTTCTTCCCTTTAATGATCATATCAACAGCCAAAAGAAGATGAAAGAAAATGAATTCATCGTGACAGCACCACATGGTTATCACTATAATTTTAAATTGTCAAACTCAAAAAAGCAGTATTCCCTCGGAATTTTACTAACTTAAAACACAAACAAATAAAGAATATCAGAGCTATGAAAATCATGGGAGAACAAGGAAGAACTACCTGAGTTTTAGTCCTTTCCAGGTCACCTTTTTTCTCATCTATAGACTTCAAAGGTGAAATTTCAAGCATTTGTTTGTCATGGGCAGTAAAATCATGTCCTTTGACTTCTTCATCTCCAGTACTTTCTAAAGTAACAGGGTCCAATTTAACAGAGTGGCCAGCTGCAGGCTCCAAAGAATGCAGAGGGTGGCCCTTGCCATTAACATCTGCAAGCTGTTAATAGTCAAAATATGGTGTGAAAGTTTCTGTCAAGGCATATCTGACAATCATCAATTGGGGAAAAACTGCACATTGATATCAAACAAACACCTCAATCTCCTCTTTTCTTTCTTTCTCATCCAAGAATATCTATGCTAAATTACATGCAGAAGGCAAATAGGCTACTGGAAGCATACTATGCATTACTGTCTGAATGCCTGCCTGTTCACAGGCTTGATTGCAGGTTTATAGCAACCAGAACCAACAATTTTGAATATATTTTGCTTGCTAGTCACATAGCATGTGTGCAGGTTTATAGCAACCAGAACCAACAAATTTGAATATATTTTTGTATCCTTCAAACTTTAAAAGCTAATATGTCAGCAAAATGGGCAGAATATTGGGTTATGCTTTTAAAAGCTCTTTCCATAAAGATCACTAAAGAATCTCAAATTGTCACACAGCAAAATCTGATCAGCATGCATGCATGTACAGAAATTGAGCTCCCTCACTGCATGCATATTTAAGCATATAATTAGGCGCTTGCATATTTATGCATATAATTTAAGTGCTATCCATCTTCAATGACAATCAAAGGAATGAAACTTCAGATCAGCTTTCAATGTATTCCCACAGAATTAAACTGAGTAGAGGAATACACATAATGACATAACATGAAAAGCTAAAATTTCCACATCCTAGAACATAGTCTGCCATCATCCTCTGAAAAGAAAAATCCGGATGTCCTAGTAAAAAAGTAAAACCTTCATGAATTTAAATTACTTGTAATATGTTTGGAAATCCATATTACTATAAAAAATAAAAAAGACCTGCTCCATGTTTATATACTTAATCTATGTCGTTCAACTATAAAAAACAATCATGTACAAGCACAAACACTAAGAAATAGACCTGTACTGTTCCAAAATCATTTGTGTTTCTCTCTGAAGGCTGCAAGGATGAATTAAATACATCGCTATTGTCCAAGGGGGCATCATGGGGTCCCTTCATTTCCTTGTCTAGAATGATTTCAGCATCACCAGAATCACTCAGCCTTCCATTCTCGTCCAAAACTTCAAGCTCCTGATGTGGAGATGCAGGGGGCAGGTCCGAGACAAGAGTATGATGACTGGATTCCTTGCATAAGTAGAAGCATGAATTGTCAAGGGTCAGTTCAACCATTCAACAATAAATTCTAAAACAAGCCAACAGTGAAGGATAATTTATTCAATCTCCAGATACCATTGCTATCATCTATATACCTGCTCATATTTCTTGCAGCAATAATTATCCAGCAGAGTCTTTAATATTTCATGTATTCTCTCGGCAGGCTCTCTGTGTATTATTAAATGAATATCGACATCATTCTCATTCCTTAAACTTCTAATTGATAAGTCGAGGCACTCAATCTTTTTTCTCAAGGCACTACAGCAAACTCTGGACCAATCATCATATTCAGCCCAGGCTAGTTCACTCTGGAGGTAAACCAAATCCCTTTCAAGTTCATCAATTTCAGTATCTGCTTTCATATTCAATATCCTTAGAACTTGCACACAGCATTTCTCATTGAGAGCATCTTCTTCCATAGCATCTAAGACCGTAAGAGAGAAAAGATTGTGAAATAATAAACTGTTAAATGGTCAGACTCCCACGACGAATCAAATCAACAAGGGAAAAAATGGGCGTGGTTTTACCAAATCCATAACCAAAACGGAAATCACACATCCATCCAAGTTCCATGTAGCAGTTTCCATCTTGCACGACTGAAAAGTAAATACTATTCAAAAATCAATAAAAGAAACCACGGTTCCTTCTTAAAAAAAGAAATGGAAACCATCATTGAGTCATTGATTATATAATGATGATGACTGGAAAGAAGAATGACGGACCTTGACTATCGGACAGTCCTGATGGGCCCCAAGGATCAAGATCCATTGATTCTGTCTTTATCTACTTATCCTAAAAATGTAGCTGACGACAAGGTTATGATCTCTCCACAAGTGAAGAATCAAAAAAGCATAGCAATGTTCAACCAGTAGCCAGGGAAAGGAAAAGGCAATAGAGAGACATCATAAAATTCCATACGGCAGATTTTTTTTTTAAAAAAAAATGGAAGAAGAAGAAGAGAATATCGAGCTAACAATCGAAATTTGAAGAATCGCCACTAGAAGCGTCTTCGTGAAAAAGATGTAAACTGCTCATTCACAAACTACTTCGAATTTTAGCAAAAACAGAGGGCAACAAGAAGAGTTCATCTGGTAAACGAGGACATGATTAATACATTCAATACTTCATCAAAGCACAGAGTAACAATGATCGGAGACCAAAAACAGCTCAGCATAACCATGCCATGCCACAATAGTCACTTACTATAAGACTAAACACGGAAATAAAAGTAAACGATGAACTGATTTACGTATGAGATGATAGAAACAATGCGAGAAAATGGAAATGTAGCTTTTCTCGGAAGCCAAATACTCGAATATATGAGTGAGAATAATAACTGTACCAGAAAATGCCATAACGAATCAATGTGGGGAGAAAGGAGATACCGAGCTTCTTCGATCTATCAAAATATCATAATCTGACATTTTTCTAGGGTTTCGAGACCTTGAATACGAGAGATTCTACTTCCTTAGACGGGAAGTCGAGCTTTTAGAAGGAGGGAGAAAGAGACGAGTAGCAGTGAAGAGGGAGGGGGAGAGAGAGAGAGAGAGAGAGAGAGAGAGAAGGCTGCGAGGGTCTCTGTTTCTCGGATAGAAAATATGAGTTTTAGTGGAGGGTAAAAAGGGACATTAAGATTACGCGAAGAGAAGGAAACAATCCTGTCCGTTGATTCAGATGCAGACAATAGAAATGGCGGGACCACGTGGAGAGTCTTTATCTTTTCTTGTTTTGGATTCATGTAAGTCTACCATCGAATGAATGTACACCGTTGATTTCAATAGAACGGACAGGAGATTCTGGTTGGTGATGGCGAACCAGATGTTTATTATGTACCGCGTTGTAGAGGAGAATTATTTCTTGAAGGGGCAAGATAGTAAAGGAGTTAGTGGGAGTGTGTACGAAACTTCGGTGCCTACTTCTTTTGGCATTTTTGCAGCGAAGGCCGATGGTCGTACATTTGACTTTCAAAAAATGTTCTACCACGTGTCGAAAGGGCATTGGTCAAGGCAATTACCACCCACGGTAAAAGGTGAACCCAAATTTAATGTATTTATACGGGAGTGAGGTTAGTTATTTTTGGTAATGGGACCCAGGTTAGTCAGATCAATAATTACTTTGCTTCTAGCTTCTATTATTGCAATAAACACGGTAATTGAATTTATTGAAACTTTGAATTATTAATTTTTTTTTATGTAATTTAAAATTTAAATTATAACATTGTTTGTAAATGGAGTAGATAATTTTATTAAATTAATCTTCATGATTATCATGTTTAAAATATTTAATTAATTAAACATGCAAATAGATGTATTATTTATGAACTTGTCTCTATCATATATGTTTTTCACTCAATCATTATTTATATTAAATATTATGATAATAATTTTAAAAGTTATCGTAAATAATATTTTGAATGCGTATGTATTAATATTAATTATGATATAAAATTAATAATAATTTTTTTAAATTTATTGCAATAATGATTTGTTTATTTTTTAAAATTATTATTTATTTTTATAGCATAAATCACATACATAAATATTTAATTTTCAAAATGAAAAATCAAATTGTGATGGCAATAATACAATATTATAGACAACAATAATTGGTCTCATTCCCATTGTAATTGTAAAGAAAACGGTTGAGAACGTTTATAAACAAGTATTTATTTGTAAGGAAAAATGTATGGTTAAATTTTTTTAAAAAATGATTTTTTTTCTTTTTTTTCATAAAATTTCATTAATGATATATATTTAAGCAAACCAATAAAAAATATAAATTATTGATTAATTTCATTTTGAAAAATTTTAAAGCATTCCCCACGTGGCAATGAGACAAGGAGGTTGTCAAAAAGCCCAGACCATTCATAAGAAATTAAAGTACACGATGGGCCCATGTGACACGTGGCGATGGGTAAACGCTCCGTTTCAATCACTTTTGTAAAAGTTTCATGCGTCCGACGGTGATGTTATCAGTTAGATAATTAATTAAAAAATATATTAATTAAATCATACAAATGTTCGCTTATTATTCTAGCATTTTTTAATTAAATATTTTATTGTTTATCTAAAATTTATGAGGAAAAAAAATTAAGTGAATAAATAAAATGAAAAAGATTAAAGTGCACTAAACAATATCAGAGCATAATTAATGATATTTTACTTAATTTGGGAGATTTTTTGAGAAATATATATATATATATAAATAAATAAATTGTCAACTTATATTTTCAATCTCCCACGTGTTAACATGAATAATTAAGCGACAGCAGACACCTGCACATAATAAGGTGAAATTTACAACACAAACCAAATTTAACAAGTCTAAAATTAATAAATACACATAAATTAAATAAAAAAATAACGGAAAAATAAATATTACATCTACATCTACATGAAGAAAACATAGAAACCAACGTTGAAAAAGGGAGAAAAATAAAAATAAAAATAAAAATTAAAATTAAAAATAAAACGGAATCGACATGGGCGATTTTACAGTGAAGGTCAGATGAGAGGTACCTTCTCTTCTTCCTCCGCAAATCCAACAACAACGAAGATCCATTTCTATTGAAACATATACATACATACATATAAAATATATATATATATATATAATGATAAAGATGTCGTTTCAGAAACAAACCCTTTTCATTTCTTCACTCATCGTTCTCTGGTACTCATCCAACATTGGCGTTCTCCTGCTCAACAAGTTCTTATTGTCCAATTATGGATTCCGTTTCCCAATCTTCCTCACAATGTGCCACATGGCGGCTTGCGCCTTGCTCAGCTACCTCTCCATTGTATTCCTGAAGGTCGTGCCATTGCAGGCTATCAAATCTAGGCAGCAGCTCTTTAAGATTGCAACTTTGAGCGTCGTCTTCTGTGGGTCTGTTGTCGGAGGGAATGTCTCGCTTAGGTATCTGCCTGTGTCGTTTAACCAGGCTGTTGGAGCCACGACGCCGTTTTTCACCGCCTTGTTCGCTTATCTCATGACTCTTAAGAGGGAGGCTTGGGTTACCTACGCTGCTCTCGTGCCTGTTGTTGCTGGTGTCGTGATTGCAAGTGGGGTATGTTCTCTTTTTTTTTATTATTATTATTTGGATTAATCGAATTCAATCTATCTCAGAATCCATTTTGATTGGTGTCTTCATTTTCTTTTCCAATTTAAGCCTCTGTGCCGGATAAATCAGATGATTCGTTAGTGGGTATTATTTAGATTTATTTGTTTTAGTTTATGCTGATTTCTTTCTGAGATTTTTTTAACAATGCCAATTTAAGGGGGAGATTTGTGAAACTCAGATCTGTAATTCTGGGAAAGAGATCTTTTTCTGATAAATGATGATTGCCCTTTCTGCAATATCATACATCCGTAGACGTATCGCATTGTTCACATGTTAAAGTATCTTGAAGTTTTCACCAGCCATTTATTCTTATTATTCTGCACGGTGTGTATGAAAAGTTGCCAAGCTCCAGGAAATGGAAATCTTGTCAAATTCCGTTTTTGGATATCAAAAGCAGCTAAAATTTATGACGGTTGCTTTAGTATAGGTTTTCGTTTAGGGCCGGGGAACAGTTTGAAAGCTGTGGATTATTATATATGAAGTTAGGCAGCATGAAGGAAATTTTTTATCCATCAAACCATAAATTGGGGCTTGCTTGAGTTTGGGAGAACTAGCTGCTGGTAGATCTAGCATCAGTAATTGTTTATTTATTAAATTGAGACCTTAATCTTGTTCACTACTCTTGCAGCTGCCTCATTGGCATGTCTTGCCTTACGCTGCTGATTTAGAGCATAACACTTCTGCTATATGTTATACATATATATGTATAGGTATATACACATATAGACACATAGGGAGGACATGCCAAGAGGCATTTTTTGTTATACTTAGGTTCATTACATATTTTATAAGCTTAGATCTGTCAACTTGTCTTGTATAAACTTCGTAAGAGCTGTAATAAAACTTATTTTTTGCTTTCAATTCTGTGGTATTCAATGAGCAATCTGGTCCTAATTTGTTGTCTAGTTTTGTGGTTTATCGTTATAGGTCTTCAATTTGAACAACTTTTTTCTCTTTCTTTTTTCTTCTTTCGGAAAAACTCTTCTTTCTGGTTCCACATTTCCAATGACGTTCTAACCTTTTAATTTGTTGGTGACAGGGGGAGCCTAGTTTTCACTTGTTTGGATTTATTATGTGCATCAGTGCAACTGCTGCTAGGGCCTTCAAATCAGTTCTTCAGGGAATCCTGCTTTCTTCTGAAGGGTAATTGCTTCTTTACTTTTAATTCATGTCTCTGCTGCATAAATACAGCAACAGATTTGTTGAAATGAAGAAAAATAAGTGAACATGACATGGTTGGAAACCGTATCCGACACTTATAATATGGAAAAGAAGAGAAGGCAAAACCGTTACCTAGTCACATATTCCAGTGAATTGACTTGCTTCAAAACATTACTTTTCTTGCAAAATCATCCATGCTGAAAGAACTTATTTATAAACTTAGAGGCTTGGCAGCAACACAGGATTGAGTAATTTATGGATATCGGTGTAGGTGCTTTATCTGATCAAGGTCGTTGTTTAGTTGTCAAGTTAAAATCTGCTTAGGCCAAATATGGAAAACAT